AGTGTTTTCCTTGCATAGGTGCTTACTTAGAGACAGTGAAGGAAAATAATCAATAAAGCAGTATTAAACACCAAACCAAAAATTAAATATATTGCAGCTTAACAATGATTAGATGTGGTGGCTGCATTAGTTTTCTTTCTTTAAGGCTCTTTCCCTCTGGTTTCACCTGGTGATCTTGCCAGTAATATACTTCCTGTACTATAGTGCCCCCACTCTGGATGAAGGCGAAGAGGGGCACAGCAGACAGCACCATTGTTAATCTGGATGGAGGGAAGATGTACTAGCAGGTTTAGATACATTAACAAATTGAAGCAAAACTCCAGCTCACACTGCAGTTACAGCAACAGTTATTTTTTACATAAATAAATAAAAGCTGATCATTGTAAGCACCCCTGTCAGCGGTAAATGGTTTGTCTCAACGCTCTTAGTTGATACATTTTTACTGGACAGCTTTTTCTGTTAAAAAACAACTGAGTTACTGGCAGGATCACCAGGTAAAATTAACAGAAAGAAAGCCTAAAAAAGAAAACTAATGCAGCCTTCACATCGTAGAATTGGTAAGCTGCAATATAATAAATGTGTGCTTTTGGGTTTAAAGTGGTTGTAAAGGCTCAGGGTTTTTTACCTTTATGCATTTTGCAAACCTTCTGTGTGCGCAGTGCCCCCAGGCCCCTCAATACTTACCTGAGCCTCATCGTGATCCAGTGATGTGAGCAACAGTCTCGGCTGTCCCGGCAGGGGTGTATTTAGGTTTTGCGCTGCCCTAGGAAACAAAAAAATTGGCTCCCCCCCTTCACGGAGAAACCCTTACACTGACTAACACCCCCTCCCCCACGAAAGGAGCCTGACATTGACCAACAACACACCAGCCCCCCCCCACCCAGGAGAGCCTTCCATTACCACTACCCCCCATATAGTGACAATCTCCCTCCACCCTGGTGAGAGTGAAGACACTCCCCTTCTTGGTTCTGATCATCCCTGGGAACAAGAGTCAGGCTCTGCATACAAAATCAAGCAGTCCGCAGCCTTTCTCAGATCCCACCTGGTCCCCATGCTGTGTGTGTCCCATCTTCCATCCCTTCTTCCGGGGGGCAGCGCTGCCCACCTGAAAAATGCTGCACTAGGCAAATGCCTTGTTTGCCTTGTGGTAAATATGCCCGTGTCCCAGGTCTCTGTCTTCTCATGGGCTGAGACAGCAATGCTGTCAATCACAGCCAGTCAGCCAATGAGGAGAGAGGGGGGTGAGGCCAAGCCGCGGCTCCATGTGTGAATGGACCCATGGAGCAGCGGGTGCCCACATAGCAAGTTGCTTGCTGTGGGGGCACCCAACAGGAGCGAAGGGCCAGGAGAGACTGCGGGGGATCTGAGAAGAGGAGGATCCAGGCTGCTGTGTGAAAAACCACTGCACACAGTAGGTAAGTATAGACATGTTTGTTATATTAACCTCCCTAGCGGTCTGATTATGTCCATATTTCTGTGCTCAAAGCGGTAAATTTTTTTGCATGGAAATATGTATTTTTTTTATTGTAGGCCTGTAATTTTTAGGAATAACTCACTGAAATCTGTCCGAACAAGAGTCTAGTAAACATCCCTGATATGTTACAATTTGAAACACGAAATCATAAATTATAATTTAATAATCATAAAAAAAATATTATTATAATAATAAATTTAATTCAATAATATAATCAAACCAAAAACACTGAAATTTGAAATTGAGCGCAAAGTTCGCACATCGCTGAGCAAAGTCGCAAAATCGTTTTCAGTGTCTGATGATGAATTTCCCCACAAATCATTATCACTCAATTCTGCAAGTGGTTCTGATTTACTATCGCTGTTCTCTAGCTGGTCTAAAACCGCTTTTGACCTAAAGGGACGCTTTTTGGATGCCATGGACGTTTCTCAGTTTCCAGGCAGAAAGAACAGTAAAAATACAGGCAGGGCACAGGACAAAGCACTCGGGACAAAATGTATGTGAAATGCTTTGATACAGTAATGTTATACTATGTGCTTTTAGTGTATTTAGTGAATGTCACTTTTTGTCATTTTCAAATTTCTCGCCATTCCGTCCCCGTACGTCCCGGCGCTCGCAGGGGACGGAACCCAGAAGACAGATGCCGGCATCCACCAGATTACATTGCCGGGGACACTGCTGGAGGGACATCACGTGAGTGCAGGACAAGGTAAGTGATCGAGGGATCCCGGAGCAGCGCCACATGGTGAGCCCGAGTGTAGCTTGGAGTTACCGCTTGTGGTACTGAAACTTTACCCTGAGCTACACTCGGGAATACCGCCAGGGAGATTAAAAAAAAAAAAGAACCTTTAGAGTTGCTTTAATTCCACTTTAACCCTTCTGGCTCTTTAAGAGAATCTAAATGCTGGGAGGTGGATGGGGGCATTCCAATCATATGACTACTGTGATTGGCTGTCACAGTGGTCACATGACTGGAACTCCTGATTGCAAGTATGCATCAGGAGCTGCCCATGACAGCGCACAGTGAGCACGTCCTCAGCACAGGAAATCTGTTCCCGAAGAACACATGTATGCGACCACTCAGTGTTGAAGCCCATCTGCTCAGCAAACGCATACATGCGTATGGCTGGCGGGAAGAGGTTAAACTGAATTCTCTGCAGTGACCTGAATGAAGTTTCACTTTGTGCAGTTCACATACATTTCAGTAAACAAAAAAAACGTGCATCACACTCTGCAGCCCAAAACATTACTGCCCACACACTAAACTGCACTATGACAGACAGGGAGTGAGGGAAAATCTGCATCAATATAACCCACATTAAAACACATGCGCTAATATAAATATAAAGTATAAAACTTTATTTAATCCCTTTCGAATCAAGATGCTTTAGTATATTCTCCCGATACAAACTTGCAAAATGAAAAAATATATATAACCTCAGGGCTAAAGCTAATACAATCTAAAAGGGTAATAAGATAAACAATAATATTTAGACCAATATTCATAAAATAAATAAATCAGAGATATGTGCCACTATTCTCTATTTACAAAGCACTCAACTATCTGAATCAGTATAAGATTTTTGTAAATAATATTAATTGTAATAAATACAAGAAATATCATTTGTAATACATATTGTTGTTGATTATATTAGTTTTAGTGCCAAGATTATGTTTTTGTTAAAGATTATACATTTGATTACATTTGCATGAAAATTCTACATCTTTAAAGAGATTTTACACAATGAATATACTGGTTTCTTTGAGCACTGGGCAGTTGAGATACAGTGTAAGTTCTCCCACAGTCACACAATACAAGCTGTACAGTTTACAAGTCTCTTAGTGGGTGCCTGTTCTGGTGGACCATTTATTTTTAGTCCCTCTATTCAGCCTGCTCTTTAATCCACAAACTAATAGTAACATAAGACTGGGTTAGCAGAACTGTACAAGCTATGCTGTATATGTATAAGGCATCATTGTGTGTTCATGTGGAGTACAGCCAGGGCCGTGGATAAGGGGGTACCGCCAGTCTTCCTGTACAGGGCCCAGGCTAGCAGGGGGGCCCAGGCAGCTGGGTACATCGAATGTGTGTAGGGAGGATAATCAGCATAGTGGGGGGCCAATTACTGGAACCAATCCCCTGTATGGTTCTCTCTGCAGCAGCTGAAGACTGGCTTCTTCTGTCCCTCCTGCTGGCTTTCAGCTGCTGCAGAGAGAGCCATACAGGGGATCGGTTCCAGTAAATGCCCCTTTGCTGCACTCATCAACCTCCCTGTGCACCGTACATTGTTGCCCAGGTTTCTCTGTGTGCCCCCACAGTGCTCCTTGGTTCCCTCCTCTCCTTCTCACACAATAGGATCCTTCAAGATAATAAACACAACAAGTGATTGGTACTGATTACTCACTGTGTTCATTCATAACTGAAGCATGGGCATTTTTTTTTGGGGGGGGGCCCTGTCAGGTTTGCTGTATGGGGTCCCGTGGTTTCTAACAGCAGCTCTGAGTACAGGATTTAGGATAACTTCACCTTAGTGGGATGGGGGAGGGGCAACACAGTCCCTAGGTCTTTATTTGCGACTTTATGCCATCATGAAAAAATGTGGCTTTATGTCAAGCAGAAATTTTAGCATTTGTGAATTTGGTACACACCAGACCAGACCAGATATTAGGTTTGATGTATGCTCTGTCTTTTATCTTATGCTGTGTGCTAAAAATAAATGTGAAATTTTGTTGTGTTTTTGGGGGTTTTTTTTGTTTTATTTTATGTGGCTTTCATTAAAAGAACACCTGGTGATCCAGCTAAAAAGTCCTTCATTCAGGAACCTCAGTTTATGCAGTGACACCCTGTCACATGTATACTCCAATCTTTAGACTTTCAATAGAAAGACAGTCTGGGGAAAGGATAATACGGTGTATGCCATGGCGCAAATTTGGCATGCCTACATAGCAACGAATATTAAGTGTGGTTTAAAGGGATATAGTTAAATACTGCACACTTGTATTGAATAGAGCCCTCACCAAGAATAAATAATGGGGCTTTGAAGGTACCAAACCATATAAATAAACATAAATTGTACAGAAATGTAATGACAGGTAGTAAAATCAAACACCTTTTATTGAGTTAAAAAAGAACCACCAACAGGTAAAACGTGATCATCAAACATATGCATGGAAAGTCATAAAATACAATTGTGACCTAGCCACAGTAATTGTTGCTGATGTCCTAGACAATTTTACTAACTGTCATTACATTTCTGTACAATTTATGTTTATTTATATGGTTTGGTACCTTTAAAGTCCCATTAGTTTTTCTTGGTTAGGGCTCTATTCAGTACATTTCTCATTAGGGGTGTAGTACCAGTAAAACCATGTTCACAAGGATATGGAGAATCATTGTTTCTCCATCTCCCGCTCCCTATACTTCTATTAAATACTGCACACATTTGCCACAGTCCTTGTACCTGCAAATAATGTGTAATTACTGTGCCACAAGCAAATTTGTACAGACAAACATAAAGTTCAGGACCAGGGGTGGACTGACAGCTCATGGGGCCCCCGGGCAATAGGGGATCATGGGGCCCCTGTGTCCTTGCCCAAACTCAAAAAAGCCTATGAAAAAGGTACCAGGGGCATCTCATGGGGCCCCCTACTGACCCCGGGCCCTCGGGCAGTGCCCGAGTTTCCAAATGGTCAGTCCGCCCCTGCTCAGGACACAATATCATTTCTAAAAACTTCTATTACATTTGCTTTCTGTCTGAGCCTACCTTAAGCTGTTTAGGGGACCATTGGCCCACATTGTACTGCTGACAGGCGGCTCCTACAGGCAGTGATGTCCCTGTATGTCGCTGCCCATGTCTGGGTTCAGGGAACACGTGCCCCTGCCCACCAACTCCTGCAGTGATTAGACTCAGCAGGATTTTGTAAGCAGGTCCCGACCAATGTATTGTGGCTGGGATCTGCTGATCAGCTGTGTCCAATCACAGCCCAGGGCCCTGTGTTGACAAACAACACAGGGCTCTGTACAGAGGGAATAATCTCTTTATTTCTTCTCCCTGTTGTGCAGGGAGTAGGAACAAAGAGATGTTTAGTAAAAAGCAGCACACATTACACAAATTAACACACTAAGGTGTCCTTTTATGACACAGAGAATAGCTGAGATTCAGAGGATCGCAGCTATTCTCTGGTCATTCACAGTTTATAACACTCAGGAGAACATGTTCAGCCCTTCACTGGAGATCTGTGTTCTCCCTCCAGATTCTCCAGCCCAGAGCTGGAGAATCAGAGGTACCGCAAACTAAGCAGCGATAATTTACCTCTGCTAAGTAAACTGATCTTTTACTGTAATCTCATGAGATTATAGTAAAATCAGCCGTTTTCTAGCATTTGTAGACCGTTCTCCCTTTGCTTGGAGAACTGATCTACATATGCTTCATAAACGGCATTTACAGGAGAACTGTGTTCTCCAAGAATGCCGGAGAACTGAGCAGCGATCTATTACTGCTGGTTCATAAATGGACACCTAAACCCATTGATTATCACTAATCACCTGTATTAGTGTCACTGGTGATGTCAGTGTCAGTTAGTCAAGTTACCACCCATTGTCAGTTAGTGTCAGATTGCCTGCCGAACTATCACAGTCTCACTATAAGTCGATGTTCACTGCCATTTCTAAAAATAAATAAATAATTCCAGTATATATAGCATAGTTTGTAGATGCTATAACTTTCACACAAACCAATTAATATACACTTATTGGTATTTTTTTTCCCATAAAACTGTTGTTTATTTAGGTCACAGCAAGAAAATACAATGTTATACAGAATATAATAACATGACCAACCGTATATATTAGAGTATTAGGATTTTTTTCTTACCAAATACATGTAGCAGAATACATTTTGGCCTAAATGTACAAAGAATTGTGTTTTTTTTTTTAAATCTTTTTATTGGATATGTTTTACAGCAGAGAGTAAAAAATATTGGGTTTTTTTTCTCAAAATTGTTGGTCTTTTATAAAAAAAATTAAAATCCCAGTGGTAATAAAATACCAACAAAAGAAAGCTCTATGTGGAAAAATTACATAAATTTAATTTGGGTACATCGTTGCAATAACCAGTTAAAGTAGCGCAGTGCTAAATAGCAAAAAAAGGGCCTGGTTAATGAAGGGGGTAAGAATTTCAAGTGGTTAAAGAAGAACATCATTAGAATGCCTGAGGACTACGTAGCAACAAACTATTCAAAAACAAACACTTTGGTCAGCAGAATGCAACATAAAGTGGTTAAAGCTGATGTTGGAAGTTTAGTGAAAATTTTCTTTTTCTTTTAAAAACAACACCAGGGATGCTACTTACCATGGATGAAGAGTGTTTCATGTCCTGGTGGCTGCTGTGTTTGGTTGAAATCCTCTTCCCTGCCCCTGGATAACTTGTCAAGTGCTGACAATTGCAACTGTATGCCTAATATCCTTAAGATCACAAGCTCCAAGGCATTTGGACATGCCTAGAGCCAGGGGCATATTTACCACAAGGAAAACAAGGCATTTTTCAGGGAGGCAGCACCTCCCTCCAGAAGAAGGGATGAAAGAAGGAACATGCGCACTATGGGAACCAGGTGGGATCCGAGAAAGGCTGCGGGCTGCTTGATGGTGTATATAGAGCCTGGCTCACATTCCCAGGGATGTCTAGAGTTGTGAAGATGAGTGTCTCTCTATTGCCATGGGGGGGTGTAGTGGAAGGCTCTCCCAGGTGGGGGGCAGGGTTGTTGTTGGTCAATGTCTGGCTCTCTCCACAGGAGGAGGAAGGGGGGGTTGTGTTGGTTGGTGTCCGTGGGGGCAGATGATTTTTGTGTTGTCTAGGGCAGCACAAAACCGAAATACACCACTGCCTAGAGCACTCCTGAAGTTGGAGCAGAGCTTGTTCTAAAAGGTATCATTCAGCTGTACGTAGGGCAATATGTTACAGCTCTGCTTCTTAAGGACTTTCACACTTTCTTACATGATAGGAAAAATTAGTGATAGTAATATTAGATGAATTAGTAGACTTAGGAAGTCTGAGTTGTGGCCTTTCTCCAAATCAGTACTAGTCCAAGAGGCAACTAATCACCTGTACAGCTTCTCTGCAAGCACCAAAAACATCTGGAATTAGTATTCGCAAATTATTAGACAGTGGGGTTGATTTACTAAAACTGGAGAGCGCAAAATCTGGTGAAACCAATCAGCTTTCAGGTTTTTTTTGTCAAAGCTTAACTGAACAAACTGAAGTTAGAAGCTGATTGGCTGCCATGCACAGCTGCACCAGATTTTGCACTCTCCAGTTTTCCAGTTTTAGTAAATCAACCTCAGTGTTTTGTTTTTTTTTTACTAGCTGGTAGGTGTGCTGGGAATGTTTTTTTTTATTTTGTGTAAAGCCTTTCCATGTGCACCTTACTTTAAAAACTAGTTATAAATTGCAGAAGTTGCTATTTTAGTTTAGTTTGTTAGAATTGGCACAGGGATACCTTTAGCTGCCATTGTTCTCTTGCTGTTTTTCTGGTGTGTCTCTGCACCTTCACCCTAGGTTCGCACCTAAGCGTTTTTCTGCCACGGTTTGCATTTTGCAAAAACGCAGTACAGTCCATTTAACATGATTTCCTATGGGACAGGTTCACATCTCCGTGTTTTCACCCGGTGCATTTTTTGGAAAGGGTCAGGGTCTTTGTTGAAAGCAAAATGTTGAGTTTTTGGTTCTATAGACTTCCATGGGAATGCTTCAGAAAAGCATGTATTGCATTTTTGCTGTGTATTTGCTGTGTTTGTGTCTCATTTTTTGATGCGTTTTGCATTTTGTCTTTTGTGTTTTAAATCTGCCTAGAAACAAAAAAAATGTAAAAATGAAAAAACCGCAAATTGCATCAAAAAAGCGGCAAAAACGCAAGTGCAAAAACACAAAATGCAACGCAAAATGCAATGCAGTAACGCCTCTAAACTTAGGGAGGAATAGTTTGCCTTCAGGCATTCCTGCTCTTAAGTTATCCATTGATTCAATATGGAGGCTCTCGTAAATGAGGACTATAGGTAGGGGCCTTGACGAGGCATATACATATATTTGCAAATGCTGTGCAACTAATAGTTCTGCTTTTAATACACATTGTCAGTGTATTTTTTTTTTATTATTAGCTGGTACATGTGCTGGGGAAAATTTTGTTTTGTGTATTTGAAATTAGTATGCAGTTAGGAAACAAGACAGCCTGCAGCAGTTTAATGCTTCCCAATCAGGAATAAACCAAGGTGATAATTCAAAATGGGAAAAAAACCCTGGAATTCTTGCCACTAGAGTCCATGAGAGATTCAGGAATCCACTGGTTAATTTAATGTACCATTATTTATCAAAAACAATATTTATTACTTTTGAGTGGACTGATCTAGTATGTCCACACTCTCTGATGTTATTATGAGGAATACTGAAAGTGTACATTCAGAGCTTATAACAGTCCATTGGTCCATTAGTCCAGAAAGCCCAAGCAGAACTGTTGCTGTGCTTTAATTTGCAGATGTGCATTCACAATAAATACAATAATGTACTTTTTCATTCACATCACTTTCTTGGTGCTATGATCTGCTATCAGAGCATTGAGAAGGGTTAACAGACATAAAACTGCCTGCATGAAAATCACAGTCCCCAGTGGCTCAGCAAGACCTACGCCAGAATTGACTTCAGTAAAAATTATGCTTTTTTTGTAGCTATTTACCTTTATCTACTTTCAGTTATTAGAAATCCAAGTTTAGCATGTAAAGTAATGTTTTAAAGGTTTCTTTGTAAAGTCTTGACTCACCCAGTCATTCTGTTTATGGTAATTCTGTCTAGTGGTGGACCCAAATTCTGCTTATGGCAAATATGTGCACAGATAATAAGTTAATAATTTTAAAATGACACTAAATGATATCCTTATTCTCCAAAAATAATCCATACACATGCATTATTTAATGGCCGTGTAATCTATTTTCATTAAATTGCTTCTTACTGTGTTTTCTGCCTCCTTGTAAAGTCTTGGGTGAGCTCTCAAGCCTCTCATTTTGCCCTCATTTTTGTTTGGAAAGAGCAGTGCAGTTTAATTGCATTCATTTGCACTGCTCTATGCACATTTTAAATCCCATAGTCCAGGAATAAGCATTACTACATATAGTGGAACCATGGAGAACTAACATAGCCACCCTATAGCAGCATAAACAAAAAAATAAAATACATTAAAAAATATATATGTATATATATATATATATATATATATATATATATATATATATATATATATATATATATTGGAGAATTGGAGGAGACTGAGAGCAATAGAATTTTCTTTTTGAGTTAAGAATACAAATGTGAATAAAACATATTTTTTAAACCAGATATTAGTGTGACTTGGAAAATAAAAAAATAAACTATTAAAGTAGATCTAACCCCACTCATTAAATTCTCATATACGTTGTATTATGTGAATATCATTTGAATAGTTTTCAATCTTTCTAAAACATGCAGCTATCTTGAAAATATTTCCTGATGACACTGCCATGAATATCATTGTATAGACACTTCATGCTACTGTCTTCTAACTGGGTGGCAACCTCTCCTAATAATTGGACCCCTGAGCTGTCACCTTATCACCTGCACTCCTTATAGAGATAGTGAGGCTGATTTACTAAAAGAGTTAAGAATATTCACTCAAAAAAGAATGATTATTTAATCATGTGCAGATGAAATAAACAGGAATTTGCTTTTCACGTGATTTGATAAACCATTACTATTTTTTGTAATTAAACATTCTCAACTCCTTGAATAAATCATCCTATAAGAGCAGGCATGCTGACAAACATTGTGCAGGCATGGTCCACAATAGTCACTATCAGGAAACCAGTGCTAGAGTGAGTGTATTTAGACATGAAGTGGGTTATTTACTAAAACTGCATGGTGCAAAATTTGGTGCAGTTCTGTATAAAAACCAATCAGCTTCCAGGTGTATTATCAAAGCTTAAATGAACAAGCTGAATTTAGAAGCTGATTGGTTACCATGCACAGCTGCATCAGATTCTGAGTGCTCCAGTTTTAGTGAATCTCCCCTGAAGTGCCAAAAAAAAAGACTGAAGGATATTGGTGATGTTGAGACCCAAAAAAGGTAAAAAAAAAAGAAGCAAAAACAGTATTATACCTTTAAAAATGGAAGTCATTTGTGTTTTAGCAAACTAATGAGGATATTTACTAAAACTGGAGCACACAGAATCTGGTGCATCTGTGCATAATAACCAATCAGCTTCCAGGTTTTATTACATAGTTACATAGTTAGTCTGGCTGAAAAAAGACAAAAGTCCATCCAGTTCAACCATAAAAAAAAAAAAAGTTATGGTCCTGTACCCACAGTTGATCCAAAGGGAGGCAAAAAAACAGCAAAGCATGATCCAATTTGCTCATACAGGGGAAAAAAATCCTTCCTGATCCCCTGAGAGACAATTGGATATTCCCTGGATCAACTTTACCTATAAATGTTAGTATCCATTTATATTCTGTGTATCCAAGAAAGAATCCAGGTCGTTTTTTAAAGAAATCCACTTAGCTGGCCAGAGCCAACTCTTGAGGAAGTCTATTCCACATTTTTACAGCTCTTCCTGTAAAGAAACCTTTCCGAATTTGGAGATTAAATTTCTTTTCCTCCAGACGTAAAGAGTTCCCCCTTGTCCCCTGTGATGACCTCGGTGAATAGCTCTACACAGAGTTCACTATATGAACCACTGATGTATTTATACATGTTGATCATATCCCCCCTTAATCTCCACTTCTCAAGAGAAAATAAATTCAGTTCCTCTAATCTTTCCTCATAGCTGAGCTCCTCCATGCCTCTTATCAGTTTGGTTGCCCTTCTCTGCACTTTCTCCAGTTCCCCAAAATTCTTTTTGTGAATTGGAGCCCAAAACTGAACTGCATATTCCAGATGAGGTTTTATTGTCAAAGCTTAATTGAACAAGCTGATGTTAGAAGCTGATTGGTTACCATGCACAGTTGCACCAGATTTTGCACTCTCCAGTTTTAGTAAATCTCCCCCTAAAATATGTCATCCAGATAGGGGTTACATGTACTTTAAGGTTATTGGCAAAACTACCCTAAATGAATTTCCCTTTAAGGTCTACAGAAAGTCTGATGCAATAGTAAGACAATCTCTGCATAGTCAACATCTGCCTGCAGCAGCCAATGTGCTCCATTTCACATAATGATAAATAGTAAGGAATAGCTATGCAGAAAACAAATGCAGACACCAGTCAGCCAGCCCTTATCACACGCTGTTTCATTGCCCATTTCGCCAGTGAAGCTTCCTTACAATATCTGGAATTGAAAATCATGTCATTATCACCAGCCCAGCCATGGGTCCAGTTGGGAAATGGAGAATTGGGCGCTCATTAAACATTACCTGCACATTTCAACAGCCCACTCATAAGAAACAGTCATCAATTGTGTAACTAGCAACAAGCATCATTCCAGAAGATCACACTCTGCAATCATCAATTGCCAACACATTGGAAGGGAAAGGTGAGAATGGAAACGAATCAGTTTCTATAATAGCGCTTCCACTCCTCCGAGGTCATTATTGCTTGAGGGAGCAAAAAAGCAAAATTGGAACCAGGACCAGCCTGGGGAGCCTACTGCTGACTGGGCACTACAAATTCCAGCATGCCCTGCTACCTAATACCTGTCAGAGCACGCTGAGAATTGTAGTACCTCACCAGATGCAACCACTGATATGCCAGTTATTGAAGAAGTCCACCTGAGACTTGTAGCATCATCTTCACTGATTATCAGGAATAGATTATAAATTCGCAGGTCTAAATGGCGCTAGCATACACAGTAGCGCTGACAAGCAGATATCAATGAGAAGTACATTCGCCGGCTAGACGTGTATTAACAAGCAAAATACCGGCCGGTAGACTATTACGCAAGTGCCATAAATCGCACCTGAACAAAGACAGATGCTGCCTCAGTTTTATATAAAAAGGTAACCTGCACTGAGGATATATGAAGCCTTCCACTGCTGAAAATGCCAGTTCCCTGGCTGTCATATTGATCCAGCGGCTTTTTCACGTACAAGCCTGCAGATTAGGATTTTTTGCTTTCTGGATCAACATCTCATAAGGAATGGTAGTCAGAGACAGCCAGGCAGCTAGTATTTTCAGAACCAGATCAGAAACTGCAGTCTGCATAGTTCTCTTCATTATGTAAAAATGCCATCAACTAGCAGCGCCTAATCATTTATATCTACACAAGTTAAAAACACTTTCTGGAATTTTATAAAGCATTGCATCAGTGGACAACAACGGGGGATAAAAAGGAAATAAAAGGTGGGACTGTTGCAGGGATCAAATTAAAAATACCATACATGCCAAAAAAACTTCCATATACATATTTAAAGGGTTATTGTTCAGTTGTATATTTTTTATACTGTTTACTATTGATTTAATAACTAGCATTGCAAGATTCAAGGAGTTCCACATGCAAATACAAACTTATTAATTATTATTGGTAATATTTGATTTTTAGGTTTGCTACATTTATTTGAAATAGAGATGATTTATATTTATTTATTTATTACAGTAATCTGCATACAATAATTAGCTTACACTGCCTTCAAAATAGTTTAACCAAATTAAGAAATATAAACTACCGATAGGCAGCTTTAAGAAAAATCCTGTTTAAATATTATGTTATCAGTTCAAAAAAAGGTAAAAAGCCAGTTTAGAAAACATTCCAATTTTTTTGTTCTGGGTTTATTTTAGTTGTCGAAATACAGACAATACAAACAAGCGATACATAGCTAAGCAAAACAATTTCTTCAAACATATGGCGCTTACAGACAAAAAAAAGTGAAGAAATGAATGAAGAAATGAAGCAAAAATAAAAGGGAAATAAATATTTACAGAACTTTTCGCTGAACATATTACATTAAAATAACTTTTTTTTTAGAAAGGAGTACGTAAACAAATAAAATCTAGAGAAAACTCAATTTCTTTTTTCCAATGTTAACAGATTTGGGATATAATATTTTAGAGCTGTATAAAATTAAACAAAAAATGTTTCCCCACAGAACATATTTGTGCAGGCTACTCTTGCTTACATGTGGAACAAAGTAAATAAAATATAAAAAATAAAAAATAAATCCAACTAGACTATAATTTCAAGACATCTATTCAATAGAAAAAAAAGACATTTTGTTGCCCTAGAATGCATAAATATACAATTCACATTTTGTTTTCACTACACTATGTCACCAGCAGTTCAGAAACTTAAAGTATTGGATAATAATTTACCATAAAATAGTGAAGTAGAAAATAAAATGAAAATGTAAAAAGCAGCAAAGAAAAAAATATAAATAAAAATGGTTGCATTTAAATACGAGAAAAAGATCCGTATGTGAATAGTTATAAAATGTGTTTGGCAACGTCCTGCATTTGGCACAATAAATAAACAATTAAAGGAAAATAAATTAAACTTTCTATAGCTGTTGAGTGAAATGGTATTATCTGTAAACCATAAATATGACACAGTTGTTGTGCAAGTCCTATCGGAAACTGTGGACATACAATACTTATATGAGCTGTGCAAACGAGTTCATGATTCCCCCCCCAGTGCCATGGTTATTGTAAAAGAGTTATATAAATACATAACTAAATAAAATGACTTTTTTTAAGCTGTGCTGGCGACATCACAAAAATTACAAAATGACAGTCATTTGGGCGGATAATTGTAAGTTTGTTGAACATTCCTACCATGAATGGTAATGGCCATGGGAGGAAGCACTGTATGGGGTGGTGTTCAGAGCAGGCAACCTCCTATAAGACTTGCTACAGAGGAATGAGCCATGAGCAGGCAGCTGAGGAGGTTGAAGTTCATCCAAGTTGCTGCAAAAAGCCGGTGGCTCTTCAAGGTGCTGAACCCATGATGTCCATAGAGCTGAACTGCCGCTGCTGTCCTTGGTGCTGAAACTGAGGCTGCTGTCCTTGGTGCTGAACTGCCGCTGCTGTCCGCGGTGCTGAAACCGAGGCTGATGTCCGTGGTGCGGAACTGCCGCGGCTGTCCGCGGTGCTGAATTATTCCTATAGTTGATGCCTATGGCGTGACTTGTGCTGCACTGCAGATGACCATGAAGATAAGTGGGGGAACTGGAATTATAGCTGAGGTGTCAGTGCTGTTACTCAGTAGAGTGTTCTTAACGTGGCAAGCAAACGGTCTGTGGCCGGTGGTCAACACTTTCTGCTCAATACAGAACCCATTCTATGACATAGATGAAGTATCTGCAAGTCCTAAGACAGTGGCCAAGAACTCGGTCAGTGGAAAGTCCTCAAGGTAGCAGACCTTGGCTGATGGACTGTGTGGAGACAGGGAAGGGTTTAGGTGTGAGTGTAGAAGCCATAGTACCCAAGGTCCTTGGCACAGTTTTTTTCACAGTCCCTAGAGGGCAGAACTTCACTTTTTAGGGGCGAGGAGCTGCCAGACACTGCCGGGTCTGAGGGGGAGAGCCGCCTTCTCTTAGCCTGTTCATAAATTCCGGAGTCGGAGGAGTCCATGGATTTGATGGAGGGAGGTGTCTCAATCCAGCTAGAGTCAGATAGGTCTTTGGGTTTGGTGTCCTCACCTAAAGGAGACCTATCTGCGGCTAGGCTGTCGGTGTCGTCTGCCCCAGACAGGTAGGGGTTTGCAGTAACCCTGGCCCCAGGGGCCCAACAAGACAGAACAGAGCCCGTCTTGGTGCAATACTGTGGCGGGCTCCGCGCTCCCCACCCTGTAGGATCGCTGTAGTAGCCAAGAGGACGCCCAGCGCAACCTGCGGTCGGCAGGGGAAGAGCCTTAACTCCCGCCGCCGCGTAAGACAACAGTGTGGCGGCATTGCCAGCAAAGTCTGTGGCGGTGTCATAGGCAGAAGCAGTGGTGAAGTCCAACCTGTTATTAGCCGGGGTAACAAACCAGCGCTGTGGAGAGGGGGCCCCGGGGTCCTCACCCTGCTGAGGGGACAGTAAACCATTAGTATGGGGTACACTGCGATCTGTACCTGGCCCTGGCACCGACCCCGGGTGGTGGAAGCGGGACTTGGCATAGTTGGTGACAAACTGGTCTTGCAGAAACGAGCTGGCCATGGAGTAGCGAGCACCGGGCACTATCTGGGACCTGGGAGAATCATTGGGTGAAGGAGTGAGGCGGTCCAGGTCACAGCCAGTGTAGATACTGCAAAGCAAGAGATACAATCAGAAAAGGAGCCCCAAAATCTCATAGTCATAGTCTGTGATAACAACAGTTTGATGAACTGGAAACAGTCATGAAAATATTTAAATATAGGAAGGAATGCATGAAGAAAGAAAGAAAGAAAGAAAGAAAGAAAGAAAGAAAGAAAGAAAGAAAGAAAGAAAAGAAAGAAAGAAAGAAAGAAAGAAAGAAATGAAGGAAGGGGGGGAGAGAGAGAGAGAGAGAGAGAGAGAGAGAGAGAGAGAAGAAAGAAAGAAAAGGAAAGAAAAAAAAGAGAGAGAGAAGGAAGAAAGACAGGAAAGAAAGAAGTAAGAGAGAAATGAAATGAAAGAAAGAAAGAAAGAAAGAAAGAAAGAAAGAAAGAAAGAAAGAAAGAAAGAAAGAAAGAAAAAGAAAGAAAAAGAAATGACTGAATAATGTAGAAAGAAGAGAACGTTATGAGAGTACATACACTGGGATTTTATGTGATACATCTCTAATGTATATATATGTATATATCTCTAATGTATATATATGTAAATATCTCTAATGTATGTATATATATATATATATGTATCACTGTAGCACTTTTTAGCTCTACTATGCATGCAATAAACATACGGACGTAGAATCGTTAGAATGAATACTGTGATTGAACAGTATACAGTATCTATTGACAACACTGAGTTTTTGAATGCACATCTTCATTATAAATGAAAACACGCAAAAATAACATAAAAAAGTCAATGACTTGGTTTATATCTAGGCTATAGCATACCAGTAGTTTTTATTTCCCTTTAAGCAACATGAATATATATCATTTTAAACTACATGCACTGCATTGCCTGACTCAAATAAATACTACCGCAGCCTGATAGGAAAGTACTATAAGTTCTGTTATTTTTTTTCATTATCAGGGGAAAATAATTCATGCTGTTCTACCCTATGCAAAATATGTAACAAGTATAGTAAACGATAAAACACAAACAATATACTAACGATGCAGCGTTTGACCATTATTTTTACCTCTGTGCACTCAAAATATCAAAACAATGTAGTAAAGTGTATTTCAAGTCCTAAAGAGCAACAGAAAATTTCATAGAGACACCATCATAATTATACAGGTGTGTATTATATAATAATGGACTGCAGCACTGCTTAATAAGGCCTAGCCACCAATGTGGTTGAACTTATCAAGGAGGACATGTAGGAATGCACAGAGAACCCATCAAAGTCTAAAGAACCTCCGCTTTAGTAAATCTGCCCTATACTCGCTGCATTTAAATAAGAACTTTTTTTCACACTACTGGTTTAGGTACAGGTCATACAATGTTACTCTGCTGAGAAGTAATTGTATATATATATATATATATATATATATATATATATATATATATATATATACTGTCAGCAAATAGCAAATTTGTATTCTTAAACATATTGTTAAATGTAATGTATTGTTTATATATACATATATATATATATATATATATATATATATATATATATATATACATTACATCTAACAATACGTTTTAGAATAAAAATGTGATGTTTGCTGACAGTAGCTTCAATTATATATATATATATATATATATATATATATATATATATTTGTGTGTATATATATATATATATATATATATATATATACTATGCAACTGAAACTTAATATAACCAACATACTTATAAAAACAAAAGTCCTTTAAATAATTTAATATACATTTATGTAGTTTGCATGACACATGCAGCGTCTCAGATAAATTAATAGAATATCATAACATTGTTTATTTCTTATCATCAGTTCTATACTTACGTGTCATAGTTATCTCGAAATCCTTTGGCAAAGGGGTTATGGTCAATTTTGAGCTGAGTGATCTAACAAAAGAAAATGGAATTTAAATATATTTTAGCACCATCATAGGTAAATCTAAACCTAAATGAGCAGCCCATACAGAGGGAATTCCATGACATTTCTGTCTGTGCTCCGAGTTGGAAACTCAAATGATTCCTGGATTATTATATGTACCTGTTTTACATTTTCTAAAGCAGTCCAAATATCAGTGACATAATAGTTACATTTATCAGTTCAGATTATTTGTAAAATATACAATTCCTGGCTTGGACATAGGGTGTAATAAATAAACGTTTTAAATAATTTGGTCCTCATTGTTTCCAAACTAGGAAAACTCTACTTTTACCACAATAAACAAGACTATGGAAACCACAATAAACTGAGCAAATATATTAAATAAAAGGAAATATACAAACTGCATTGACCTTTCTACAAATCCAATCTATAAAAACAAGTTCTAATTAATGAGAGTGACCTGCTTGTACAAGCTTCTGTCAACTTACACTCTTGTGATCAGACTGAACTGCCTTTATGAAACAACTGAGTACAGCTCAGAATGATAAGAGAACATATAACATAACATACAATACACATTGCTGAGATTTGTTTGGCTGTAGGATCATTATAATTAAAGGTGGATTTACATCAGCGTGATCTTTAGTACATATATATATATATATATATATATATATATATATATATTAGAAAGTTTTTTTATCCATCTACACACTCTCTCTCTCTCTCTATATATATATATATATGTACATTTTAATCACACTGATGTAAAGCCATCCAAATGCCAGAATAATGATAATGACGACAGTACAATATAAATGAAAAAAAAAAGTGTATATATCATATGTCCTGTAATATATATATATAATATTTAGTATTTTTTATTATTATTATTATTATTATTATTATTATTATCAATCCATATATCTGTCTCTCTGTCTATCTATCTATCTATCTATCTATCTATCTACATATCCATCTTTCTTTCTTTCTTTCTTTTTCTTTCTTTCTTTCTTTCTCTTTTTTTTCTTTATTTCTATCTATCTATCTATCTATCTATCTATCTATCTATCTATTTATCAATCCAGCTATCTGCCCATCTATCTATCTATCTATCTATCTATCTATCTATCTATCTATCTATCTATCTATCTTTCTTTCTTTCTTTCTTTCTTTCTTTCTATCTTTCTTTATCTATCTATCTATCTATCTATCTATCTATCTATCTATCTATCTATCTATCTATCTATTTATCTATCTATCTATCTATCTATCTATCTATCTATCTATCTATCTATCTATCTATCTATCTATCTTTCTTTCTTTCTTTCTTTCTTTTTATTTATCAATCCATCTATCTGCCTATCTATCTATCTATCTACATACACACACACACACATATTACTTTTTCATTATCCACGCAACCAATCCATATAATTACAACACATTATAACTATAATAATATTAATAATAATGACAATAATAATTTTCTTATAATTAATTTTGTTAATATTTGTAGGTATTACTAGTAGTAGTAGGAGATGTAGGATATGTTGCTGATGATATGATTTCTATTGCTGCTATTATTTATTTTGTTGTAAACAATACATATTACAGTAGCAATATTTTAGTATTGGTGGTAGTGTAGAGGTAGTCATCTTAGATTGTAAATTCCCTCTTAGATTGTAAGCTCCAAGGAGCAGGCCCCTCCTATCCCTCTTGTATTGAACTGTATTGTTGCTGTATTGTCTCCCTTTATATTGTAAAGCACTGAGCAAACTGCTGGCGCTATATAAATCCTGTATAATAATAATAATAATAATGTTGTATTGCTGTTCTGATGCTGGTTGTTCCTGACACCAGAGATGATATGATGCCCCTACACACAAGGACAATAAAAGCAGGAAGGAATGATTACATCGGTGTTCTGGTAGGCAGTGACTGCGATGAACTGGGTCTCGGGGAATGTGAAGGTCTGCACTCTGCCAGGCTGGCTGCTGTCCTCCGTGCCATCTTCATTCACTTCCACCACATGCAGCCGCGGCTGGTACTTGTGCAAAGACTGCAAGACGACCATCTGCCAAGGCAACATCAGAGACGGGTGATCAGGTGACAGCAGCCTTTGGCCACAGATGCATTGCTGGCTGCCTATGGGTGCAATGTACATGACTCTGGATGGATATCTAGGGTTCTAGGGAAAGGCTCACAAACGCATCCGACTGTCTCTCGTAGGAGGCAGCAGACTCGGGGAAACATGCAGACCCACATGCACCGCCATGGAGCTAGTAGTTGCGAATATCTAGCGAATTTCTAGCGAATTTTGCAGCCCCAGCATCCCCTATCATTCGCACGGTAATTTATTCCAGGCTGATCTGCAAGTGTTGGAGATGGCTTATGCAGATGGCGTTCAATGACACACATGCTAAAAATACACTCCATGCTGGGCAGGCTGGGAGGAACTGACTACAAGGGCTGCACTGCTGTATCATTTGCTGCTGGTGAGTACAACTTCTAACACAAGAGCCGCTAATTAGCAGATTCCACTAACCTGACCGTTATTATTGGAAGCCCCCTTGTTATTAGTCAGCTTCATCTTCCCAAATGAGATCTCCTGTCTCATCCAGTGGGCTCCTGTGTTGGGAGAGTCCGGATGCATGTACACCCTGTTACCTGTTACAAGAGAAGCAGACGGGTGCAAATTACACTTTCTGAAATTTCCAATCATTAATCCTTTTATTCCACATTCAAAGATTCCAACATTTGCATATTATTATTTTTTTTTTTCTTGCTTCTTTTTCCCCCTCTATCATCTGCTCCTAAGGCAAGGCTTTTTTTTTTTCCTTTTCAGATCACAAAAGGCTCTAATTAATGTTTCTCACCTAAAAGAGTGTCAGAGACTAAAAAGGGAAAGTGTTAATTGGGACTCGCCTTGTACATTGGTGTCCGCCTTGCCACAAGGCACCCACTTGCCCCCTTGAAATCTCCAGTGATTGGGATCAGCCAGTATCACGTCTACAAAGATATTGTAGTGGGCTGTGGGGTCCAGGCCAGAGATGTTAAAACTCAGGAAAGGGAACATGCGTCTAATGGAGAGAACAAATAAATCAGGAAATTCACCTTAGTATAAAAAAAAAAGAGTGGAAGATTAAAAACACAAAAAAAAAAAACATATAGAAGAAAAACATAGTTTTTCATGTTATTTAGAAATATAATAAAGCAGAAAACAAGCAAGCAAAATATTGCATTATTACAATAACTAGAAAAGTAACATCAAGCAATACTTATTATTATTATACAAAATTATACTACTGACAATAAGATAGAAATAATAATAATAATAACAATAATAATAAAAAGAACAACAACAATAATAATACTAGTAATAATATTAATAAAAATAATAATAATAAAAACAATAATAACAATATTACAATTATGAAGCCATTACTGCTACAACTAATAATAATAATAATATACTACTGACAAGAAGAATGATAATGATAATAATCATCATAATAATAATAATTTGGAGGGAATATTTACTTAAAATTTATTATTATTTATAATTAAATAATGTATTTGTTTTCATAAACTAGGCTTCTAAAATGCACAGAACTGTAATGGAGAAAACATGTATGTATAAAGAGAAGTAATTGCTGTTAAAAGAAAAAAACAAAAAAAAAGCACACACAGCAACAAAATGATAGTAGTGTTAAAAATACAGCAAGAAAAGTGCACAACAACATAATAACATAACAGTGATAATAATAATAAAATGTATATAAATATACAACTACTAATAGGAATAGTATTAATAATATTTTAGGGAAAATATCTACTTAGAAATTGATTTTCAGCATTAAGTAATATTTTTTGTTAATAAACCAGGTTTCAGGACTGTAATGGAGAAAAAAGCTATAAAGAGAAATAATTGCTGTTTTATATATATATATATATATATATATATATGAAAGAAAAGAAAACACAAACGACAAAAAAGCACACAAAGCAACATAATGACAGTAGTGTTAAAAATACAGCAAAAAGAGAGCACAACATCATAATAATATATAATAATAATGAATCGTAAGTATATAATTATAACAATATAAAATACTAATATGTATTTTTAATTTTATTTAAAAAATTGGTTAAATCCTCTCTTCTGTCATTTTATCTATAAATAAAGCTATTGCATAAAACACTACAAAACAAAATAAGCAAAAATGAAATAAAAAAGGGATAATCTAGGTACATAAAATACAGATCAAAGTGTGCAGGAGAAAAGAACACCCGATCCTTAGCCCACGTAGGGTAGAGGTTACCCCTCCGACTTCCCCGGGCACCTCCTGGCACAGCACCCACCTTCCTTGCTTGGTGATGATCATCTCGGTCTGGTGCCGGTGGAACTTGAGCCAAAGTGGCCGGTTGCAGAGGTAGACCTGCGCCTTGCCCGGCACCAGTCCCGGCTGGGCGGTGGAGAACTGGTAGAAGGGTGCCCCTTGGTAGGAGTGCCCATACTGCTGGGTGTAGGGGTATCCGGCGGTAGGGTAGGCTTGCGGGGAGGAATTGCCCAGCAGGCTGTTGTAAGCTCCATTGGCGATGACCGGATGGTGGGCCATGTATCTGCCGGGGCTCCCGATGGAGAAGGCTGGGTGAGCAGGTCCATGTTGGGTAGGGTAGGGGAACATGGTAGTAGTGGGAGCCGCGGCTGCAGAATGGGACTGACTGGACTGAGGGAGGAGATAGCGATCTGCTGCAGATCCATCGAAATTATGACGAATCTCAGAAAGCCCATCCAAGACAGGAGACAGCTTACTCCTCTGGCCGTCCCCTGGTGCGTCCTTGGAGTCAGGGAAATTGTCTGGATCTGACTGATTCGTCATCCCCCTGCTCGTTTTTTTCAGAGGTGAACTTCTCTCCAGGTTGTCAGAAGTAGAGATAATGGGATGATCATGCAAAGCAAGCTCAGAAGTGCCTGGATGGGGGTAACTGCTGCTCACACTGAGCAATTTCTTGGAGAGCATGATAGAAGGAGAGATGCGATGATCCAGCTGCATAGCTAGCACCCAACTAACCCCTCAGCCCCCTGTTATTGGAAAGCCCTTAAAAAAAAAAAAAAAAAAAAAGAGGCACAGATCCAAGGGAACAATTAATGTCCTAGCCTAGCACTCTTCATCATTGCCTTGTTGCCTCCCAGAGCTTTGTTCCACTTTTTCTTTGGGCGCACAGATTGGCCAATTGACGGTATGCAGCAATAAGACAACAGTCACTTTTGATCCTTCTGCACTGGAGGAGGATGAGACGGCTGCTGCCATTGGTTAGCTGCTGACAGTAATTTAATTAGATAGGCATTAATTAGGATAATCACCTGGCTCCTGGTCCCTGGGATGGCACATTGAGGGAAGAGTTTATGGGGAGGATGATGGGGGGAGGAGGGAGAGGGGGAAAAAAAGGGTCTGCTTTTCTGTGTATTGGAAGATTTATGTCACCTTTAGCATTTTAAACACTGCTTACAAGGAAGAAGTGCTAAGAATGATCTCCATTTAGTGTGACACTGGTGCTGCCTCTTCATTTTCTCTGGGAGGTCTGTTATGTTAAGGCTGGCTAGGTGCAAACTGCTAACATTTTATGCTGGCCACACATACAAGGGGGTTGATTTACTAAAGGCAAATGGACGGTTCACTTTGGAAGAGAAGTTGCACTTTGCAATGGAATTATCCTCATAGCTTATTGGATGGGGTGAAGCTCTGCTGACTTTATTCATCCAATCAGGCGCTGTTTTTTTCTAATTATTATTTTTTTTTATACAGGATTTATACAGCATCAACAGTTTGCTCATTGCTTTACAAAATAAAGGGAGACAAAACAGCAATGATACAGTTCAGGAGGGCCCTGCTCCTTGGAGCATTTAGTAAATTAACCCCAATAAAATAAACAGAGACAATACAGCAACAATACAGTTCAATACAAGACTGTTGGAGGGCCCTGCTCCTTGGAGCTTACAATCTAAGATTCTAATTTTCCTTGCACGTGATTGGCTGTTTTTTTTTTTTTTTTTTAAAGCGGAGTTCCACTCAAAAGCTGAAGCTCCGCTTATTTGCCTCCTTCCCCCCCTCCGCTGCCATATTTGGCACCTTTTGGGGAGGGGAGTGGGTATCTGGTTTTGACAGGTACCCTCTCCCACTTCCGGCTCAGTTCGCAGCAGCGAACTGAGCCGGAAGTTTCCTCCCTTCTGCAGTCATGGGTACTTTAATAGGTCTCAGAAGACTGCCACCAATTAGGAGGTGCAGCACAACTCACGTATGCGCAGTGGACACCAGGCTGTGAAGCCGCAAGCTGTCACAGCCTGGTGCCCACAGTTGAGATGGCGGCGTCATGGCAGAGAGAAGGGGAGAAGGGACAAAACATCGCTGGATCCTGGGACAGGTGTGTGTTTATTAAAAGTCAACATCTACATAGAAATTTCCCATTAAAGTGCAATTTCCTTTGCAACGCAAACATCTTCTTTGCATTTAGTAAATTAATACCAATAAAATAAAGGGAGACAATACAGCAACAATACAGTTCAATACAAGACTGTTAGGAGGGCCCTGCTCCTTGGAGCTTACAATCTAAGATTCTAAATTTCCTTGCACGTGATTGGCTGTTTTTTTTAAGCGAAGTTCCACTCAAAAGCGGAAGCTCCGCTTATTTTCCTCCTCCCTCCCCTCCACTGCCATATTTGGCACCTTTTGGGGGGGGGGAGTGGTCCCTGGTTTTTGACAGGTACCCGCTCCCACTTCCGGCTCAGTTCGCAGCAGCAAACTGAGCTGTAAGTTGGGCCCCCTAGCAGTCTCCTGGGTACTTTCACAGGTCCCAGAAGACTTCCGGACCAATTAGGAGGTGCAGCACAACTCACCCATGCGCATGGACACCAGGCTTGCAAGCTGTCACAGCCTGGTGCCCACAGTTGAGATGCCGACGCCATGGAGGAGAGAAGGGGAGAAGGGACAGCGTGGGTGAGAACATCGCTGGTCCCGGAACAGGTGAGTGTGTGTTTATTAAATGTCAGCACGTACAGTTTTTGTAGCTGCAAACTTTTAATAAACACAAAAATGTCTGGACAGCTGGAATGTGACCACATGCACTAAGTTCTGGGGAAAATTTTCCAGCAAAGTTTTTCCTTGCAAAGTGAACATCTACATAGAAATTTCCTGTTAAAGTGCAATTGCAAAGCGAACATCTTATTTGCCTTTAAAATGAACCCCAATAAGTGCAAATGGAGTGGGCAGCACCTGTGGTGGTCAAGCAGTGCAGGTGTTAAAGTGGAAATAAACAATATTCTTGTACTCCAAAAACTATCCATACACATCTACTACTTAATGGACACATATTCTATTTATCATTAAAGTGAAACTATCAGAGTATCTGATCACCACAAACCAAAAACACTTTTTAATTAATTTTTAATGTTCAAAGCAAACTCACCCACCCATCCATGCCCCCATGCTTTATTTTGCTGAGAAATCACAATGAAAAACACCCCCTAGCATTTCTGGCCATGGCCATCTTGAGTAAGGGCAGACGATACATGTAGCATATACTTCCTGGAATTCATCTGCCCTTAGCTCAGGAATGCAGACAGGAGGATGTGCTTAGCTAATAAAACTTGCCTTGGCATGGAAAGCAGGAAATAACTAAAGAAATGTGAAAAAAAGGTTTTAAACAAGTAAATATAATACACATTCCTTTCCTATCTATTTACTAATAATGCTAGCAGCACAAGGATTAAATATAGTTTAAAACGTTAAGTTCATTAACTTGCTTCTTATTATAATGCTCGTTGTAACATCCACTGTGAGCTCCCAAACCTCTCCTCTCCTTTTCACTCTCACTTGCTTTTGTGTGGATGGAGCAGTACACATTAGTTGTGGTTAGTGCTGCTATGTGCACACTACACATCCCATAGTCCATAGTCCCTTGTCCTTCTCTGGAGTGAGCAAGAGAGAGTGGCTTTGCTCCTATATAAAGTTTTGATGAGCGACTTGTCTGTCAATGGGCAGCCTTCAGATGTCCGGATTGCTTTGGTGTCACAACAGTACCAAAGGTGAGTGGTTGGCTATCTGTCATCCTCCCGGCAGTACTGCCATATGCAGCATGACATTTACAGGGAATATATAGTGGTTTTATATATATATGATGTTTCATTATGTGAAAAAATTAATTTCTGATTGATTTTCAATTTGGTAAATAGGTCATTTGGCATTTTAATTTTTCATATTTACCAGGTTCATCCAACAGGTAGAGCTATAAATATTGTTGACTGCACTTTTTCTACAGTGCTTTACTTGTATGCTGTAGGGAGAGTGTACTTTGGTCCTTTTATGCTCTATTCAAAACAGATGAATGAGCCAGAGATGGATTACACCACCCATGTCTACTGTTCATACAGCTCTGAATGGAGACTCAATTAGAGAGAAGGTCCAAACGTGAAATAAATACTGTTGGGCTGTCTTAATATTAAACCTAGAAAGTTCTGAGAGAACAGGGGGTTATTTACTAAAACTGGAGAGTGAAAAATGTGGTGCAGCTCTGCATAGAAACCAATTGGCTTCCAGGTTTTATTGTCAAAGCTTAATTGAACAAGCTGAAGTTAGAAGCTGATTGGCTACCATGCACAGGTACTGAAAAATATTTAATAAATTGCAACAAAAAGATAATATTAACATGTAAGCTTTTCAGGCAACTTTAAAAAGAAATATGCACTTTTGTGTCTTCTTAAAGAATGTTAAAAATAGGGGTTGAGAGCAGAAGAGAGGCTGTGAAAATGTTCAGTATTAAAAAAAGAGAAAACTATTCATAGCATCCCTGTAGATTAGTGGTCTCCAAATTGTGGCCCACAAGCCAGATGCAGCCCTTATCAGGCCCTTGGGACACCATTCCTCCCACTGATAAGAGGCACTATTCCTCCCACTGGCTCCAAATAGGAGGCACCACGCCTTCAAATGTCACCAACAGTGGGGCATAATTCCTCTCACTCCCTCTATTCAATGGTGGAGCACTATTCCTTCCGCTGACACCAACACTAGGGCATAATTTCTCCCCTTGACACCAATGATGGCGCACTATTCCTCCACTGATGCCAATAATGAGGCACTATTCCTCCATTGATACCAACAATGAGTCACTATTCCTCCATTGATACCAATGATGGGGCACTATTCCTCCATTGACACCAACAATGGGGCACTATTGCTCCATTGATACCAAGGATGGGGCACTATTACTCCATTGATATCAATGATGGGGCACTATTCCTCCATTGACACCAATGAAGAGGCACTATTCCTTCATTGATACCAATGATGGGGCACTATTCCTCCATTGACACCAACAAGAGGGCACTATTCCTCCATTGATACCAACGATTGGGCACTATTCCTCCATTTATACCAACGATGGGGCACTGTTCCTCTATTGATACCAACGAATGGGGCACTATTCCTCTATTGATACCAATGATGGGGCACTATTCCTCTATTGATACCAATGGTGGGGCACTATTCCTCCATTACACCAACAATGGGACACTATTCCTCCCTTTGACATCAGTTTTTTTTTTTCTTATTCCCACCGATGCCAGAAAAATGTTCCTCATGAGCCATAGTCAGGTCCCCCTAAAGTCTAAAGGACAATGAACTTGCCCTTTATTTGGAATGTTTGGAGACTCCTACTGTATATATTTCAAGCTACTTGAGCTGGCCAATAGTAAGCCATTCTAATGAACATGCTCATCTATAGGGATGCTAGGGATTGTTTTGTTGTCATAATTTTATATGCAAAGAATAGTGTGTGTGTGTAGGTGACATTTTTTTTTTGTGTAGGTGAAATGGCTGGCCTGTTGATGATCTGAATATACCTCACAAAGAACATGTGGTAGGTTTAAACTGAAAAGTTGCTTGATTTTCCATGTCTATAAAAGTGAACATGTTTAGATATATGCAGCTATAGCACTCTTGTCCCTACAAGCTCTGGAGCCATCATTCTTATCCTTTGCATATCCAATTAATGATCTATC